AGGAGGCAGAACAGTAGGGGGGAGGATATGGTAAGAACTCTAAAGAAATTATTTGATAAACCCATGAGGGAAGAGATCAGATTGTAGTTCTACAATTTAATGTACTGACAATGAACAGGACTACGACAAAACTGAAGTTTCAGCAAAACCAGAAAACCCTGACTTCAACCAATTTCCAATCTCCACCTCCTGAAGTGATGTCTGGCCCATGCATACCATGTGCTTTGTAGTGTCATCCCACAGCATCATTGCATGGCCCCTGACCACAGCACACAGTTCTACCACACATCCCTGTTCCGTGGCATGCCCTCGGGAGCTCCATGGCCCACACACCTGCCTGCACTGGACACAGCAATGTACTTGAAATCACCTAATCCCACCTCATCTGGATCTAGCCCCTGCTGTTTGAGAGTGATAGACTTTCCTAGCCAAAGGGGTGATTTCAGTCTCTGTGTCTGATGATAGATGTGGTTCCTCTGCTGGCAGATCTGGGTGCCACAATATCAAAGTTAATTGGAAGTGTTAAGAGCTTGCAGCATGAATAACAACAGATTTAAAACAACACAAAATTATGATACAGCTGGCATCTATTGTTGCTTTTGAACTATAGTTGCTATTGAAGCAGTTGTACTACTTCTTCCATTCTACCAGAACGCTTACTGAGTAAAAAAAGTTGTCCATCATTAAAGACCTGATATTACCTCAGCTTTTGCAGTTATCTAAAATTAAAAAAAAAATTATTTCCTAGTTGCTATAAAACAGTAGCTTCTCATATGTAATCTATTAGTTCAAAATAGTGTCAAAATATTCAGAAGAAAAAGAAAGCAACCTAGTTCACAGGATTCATGTTCACAGGCTAAATGTGAGATGGGAAAGTTTAATTAGAAGTGCATGAAGTATTTGAGACAAAATATGATTTCTACCTGTGAAATAAGAGGTGCTGTTAGTTGGGTTGAATGATTAAACAATTTATACCCATCCTTCTCTCTCCCTTTCTTCCTTATCTCTGAAGAAGGATATGCAGGAGAAGAAGGAAGCAATCGAGAGGGAGAACACACTGTACTTCTACATCAAAGGGTCTATTGAGTACATCCTATATTATCTAGCAGAGCTAAAGAAAGTTAATTCTTGGGTTTATAATTTTAGGTTTATGCATTTGATATTTAATGATGCAAAATTGATGACTGGACTCAATGATCTTGAAGTTCTCTTCCAACCCTGATGATTCTGTTATTTTTTGAAAATATTATAGTGGGCCACTACAGAAGACATTGTAACAAGGAAATAATGATTTCGAGTAGAATCTCAATGGTTTAATCATAGCTCTTGGTTGTAGAGACCCATACATAGACATAAGTTACTGCTGTAGGGCCTGAGCACATGTCATTACATTAGTAGCTACTGCCTTTAACAAAAAGGCTTGTATGTATTGCTGCCAAGACCTTGTCCTAATACAGATGTCCAAGAGCATAAAGTTCTCAGGGAACCTGAATTCCAGTGCATAAATTTATCTATTCTAATCTATAATAAAAGGAGTTACATATAATTACATTTGCCAGATCCTTGCATTGTCTATGTCAAAGGAATTCTACCAAGCCAATTGGAACAGTACAAAACCTGAAGAAACCTGAAGAAGGGAACCAGAGAAGCCTCAACACTTTTAAGATTCTAAAATATTTTCCTCTAGGTTACTTTTTTTTTCTCTTCTCTGTAGACTAGAAATCCCATCAGTATTTCTGGAGAAAAAAATCAGAAAAAGAGGTGTTTTGCATTACAAGATACTTGTCCAGTATGCTCCAATTTAGAAAGACACTTGAACGCTGCAAAGTATAACTCAAAATGCTCTTTATAATAGTTAAAAGTGTAAAGAAATAGAGAATAGTGCAGGTAATCTTACCTTCCTTTAGATGCTTAGAGCTCCAAGCTGTGCATCATTGAACAGGCCCCTGGTCAGTGTACAACACAACATGCAGACCCTGTCTATAGAAAAGGCTACCCCATGTTGGTCACTTGAGCTACTAGAGGATTTTTTACACATACATAACTATATCCATCATTTCTACTCCCGAACAGGAAAGATATCCACAGGAAAACTTCCTAATGCACTTGTGGCACTAATGGCAAAGCCATCAGGTGCCAATGGGAGCAGGCTTGCAGTTTTCTCTGTCAAAATGGACTGGCTGATAGTGTTCTCCAGCCACAGGCTTGAGGGCCCGGTGGGATGTGTGGCACAGCACAGCACACACCTGAGCCTTCTCAGGTTCCATGTTATCTGGGCCAGTAGCTCTGCAATATGCAAGGGTCTTATGGTATCACTCCAGGTCAGAGGTGTTACCTAGCCTAAACATCTGCTGCTGCTAAAATTCTGGAGATGGTTTAAATTTAGGTGTTTAAAATTCCCATTTTAGTCAGTAACGATTCGATCAATACATATCATAGATTAAAGCAAACAACTACTTTTATCCTAAACTCCTAGTTTCTAGGAAACTGAGCTACTGAGCACTCCCACAGTATGAGACTGTGGAAGATCTTGTAGGACTCCTGTGAGAAAAAACAGTAATGATGTACTGGACCAACACTTCAAAGCAAATCTCACCCAAGTGCTAGATTTGGTAACCAGAGCTTGTCTGCCAGCCTATTCAGAGTGCTGATTATCCCTGGTTTCTGCTTTTTGAAAACTACCACTAATCATCAGCCAGGAAGGGTCTGTCACCTTCTTCTTCTTCCTCACCTCCTGCAGTGTCTGTTCAAAGTTTACATTGTGCAAGTCACTAAGGAAAAGAGGGACTTTCTGATTTGGCCTGATCTCATTTGCAAATGCTGGACTCATTGCATTTCTTTTCCTGAAATGAAGTCTAGGCAATCCCATGGCTGTAACTACCAGCAAACATCAACAACACTGCCAAGGTGGTAATTCCTCTGCTTAAAAGAGTTTATGAAATGTTACTGATTTTAGTCACAGGAGAAACTGTATGCACCTAATAAAAAAACTGCATGAAGACAATGAATTAAGCTTCTTTCAAGTATTTTCTGATTTTGACACCTTTCATTAAGGACTTCTCAGAAAAAATATGGAAGAAGATAACCACCAGCCTGAGTCCCCCATGAAATCATTTTCTGGATATAATTTCTACCTCAGTTAACATGCGGTAGAAAAACATATGTTCCCTGCCAGGCAGCAAATTAATAGGATCACTAGTGGGAAAAAAAATCCTTAGTGAGAAATTAAAACAATATTTACACATTCCCACCAGAGGTCACTCATATCATAGGAATAAAAGGAAAGTTACCAGAATTCTAAGTATTTGTTGATTCTACATATGATGGAAATTGAAAATGCATTTTTATTTAAATTTATATTCCTACTGATTTTATTGAATATTCATAATTGAGGTAAATGTAAATAACAGGAGTTCAGGTTAAAATACAGAGCTCTGGTAAGAATAACAACTAGAAAAAATTTTGCAATAACATAAGGCTCTAGTAACTATAACTAATGCTGTAGATAAGACTGTGTATGGTGGACATGGATGACAATAAACTACTGCATTTCACCTTGATACCTTTACTTCTTGAGCTGTAAGTCACAGAGAAGCTAGAAAAAGTAGGACTTATTCTTAGTAGTGTGGTAGAATTAGACACCTTGCGTAAAAGAGTTATTAGGTATGCCTATGTTAATCAAGACTCCTAACAGTAAAAATTATATATCTTTTCTGAGTAACTAAAATAAAACACAACATAACAGAGATTGCAGTGCTAAATATAATCTCAGAATCCAGAGAAAATTACTTTATGCACTCAGATGTGATTAGTTCTATTTAAGGAAATGGTTTCTATCCTTAGCATGTAAAAGAGAAAGTATTAACACTGTTTTGTGTTTTACACCTTTAACTTCTTTCTCTCTATTAAGCATTTCTTAGGCCACATCTGTCCTACTGCTTCCAGTTTTGGGCCCCCAACACAAGAAAGGTATCAACAGAAGGGAGTAAGTTCAGTAGAGAAGTGCCAAAATAAAACCATGAGCAATCTGTCCTGTCCTCATAGCTCACCCTGCTTTGAACAGGAGGTTTGACTAGGTTGTCTCAGAAGGTCCTTCTAATCTAAATCATCCTCTTTTACTATGTTATGATCTTGTGAATCAGTCCTTTACACTTTTCTAGGAATAAGCTCTAGGCAATTCTAGGCCAAACTAAGGAAGTTTAACTAGTTTAAAAGATAAAGGCAACATGTGTAGTAATTTGTATTTATCAGTTAGATCTTATCTAAGAGTGAAAGTTGGCTAGCTCTCTTCAGGTGGTGGAAGGTTTGGCTGAAAAGAGCTAGGAAAGCATGAACAGAAAAAAACTGAACAGGAAATTATTTGCTATCTATTATTAAACGAGAGCACATGGATTTCCAGAGGGATGTTTTAAAAATAACAAATGCAAATGCTAACTTTAAAAACAGTGTTCAGTCTTGTGGGGTGTTTTGGCGATCAAAAGTTAGGATGATGGATAAAGGTACCGAGGTACTATTGCCAAAAGATACAATATTAAGAGTGAAAGAATTAGTTTATTTTCCTTATATTTTCTGCACTTACCTCTGCCAGAACCTTTCCTTGAAGTATAATACTTAAGGCCATTTTGTTCCAGTCTCTGTCTGCAGCCACTTCTTGTACTGACTGTTGTTGGATATTGAAAATAGATAGTGCTTGGGACTATGACCAAGTATGGTTGTTATGATCTTCAAGATCCTTTAGGATCTACTACAACATAGCATAGTCTTCTAAGGAAGGAATAAAATTAATGTTTCACTGGCAGATGGTGTCTATTGTAAATTTTCTGCCCAGTAAATCATAGATAAAGTGATTCTTTATCCATCTCTTTTCAGTTCCTTCAGCTAAAGAAGAATCTGTCAGGAATTACATGGTACAACAAATCTACTCAAACAACATGTCGCTTTTTTGCAGAGAGCAGGGTAACAAGACTTTTTTTCTTATTCATGTGTGCATACATGTCAGGTATAGCGGATTGTGTCAGCTTTATTGAAAGAAATCAAGAACTGTCTTTGGGACTGTAGCTTCACACTCTATTGGGTACCTTCCTACTGTTTGCATCACTTTGACATAAACACAGCAATGGTGATGAACTAAGTTGGACCAGGAAATTCTTCTTTCTGAAATATAATTTGAGGAAAAATACTTTTCACTAAACAAGTTCCACACTGCAAGCCACCATCCGGCTGCACAAACCGTTGGAGGAGGGAATAAGTAGAAGAGAAAAACAAATGGATGTTGCCCAGTGTCTGTGAATCTTAGACGCACATATGTAGGTGATAACCCCAGGTGTATTGGGGTCTGGTGGAACGCATTTTGTGACTCCTGTTTGATGGGGTTAGTGCGTGAGTCTGCAGTTCCTCTCAGCCCCTCAGCATGGAGCCACTGTCTCTGCGAACTAGGCGCAGCTACAGCTAAAAGAGTCAATATTCAGGTCACTTTATCAAACGGAGTCAATTTCATGTCACTTTAAAGTGCTTGGCTTCATAACTGGGGCGTCTGGGGACGGATCAGCACCCCCCGGAGATCCTCGGGGAGCGCCAAATCCGCCCTTCCCGCTCGGCGCTGGCTCCTGGTGCCCCCACAGTAACGGGGAGTGCGGCTGCGAGCTCTGAAACCTCCTCCGCCCAGCCGCCGCCGCAGCCGGAACCCACACGAACAGTCAGACAGTGACAGCATCACTTATGTCGGAAGAGATGGATGAGCCGTCAAGGCCAGCCAGCCCACGGCAGTGTCCCAGCCCACGGCAGTGCCCCAGCCCACGGCAGTGTCCCAGCCCAGGGGCCGCACACGGCGTCTGCGGAGCGGGCGCAGGCCGCTGACCCCGCCCTGCCCGCGCGCCCCGCTCCGAGCAGCCGCGCCGGGGACGCGCTCGGGGCGCGCGCGGCCGGCGCGTTGCCCGGTAACGCGGCGGGGGCGGGCGCGCGGGTTGCCCGGAGACGGCGCTGCCGTGCCCGGCGCTGCCGGGCTGTGGGCGCTGCGGGCGGACAGGTGAGGGAGGCGGGCAGGCGGGGCTGGCGGGGCTGGCGGGGCTGGCAGGGCTGGCGGCTGCCCCCGCGGAGCCCCCGCTGCCCCGTCGAGCCGGGTGGGCAGGGCAGGGCAGTGCAGGGGAGCTGCGGCGCAGCGTGGCCGGGAGGTTGCGCGGGGCTCGGCCGCGCCGCCCTGCGCCCACCTGCGCTCCGCGGACGCAGTGGCCCCGGGGAGCTCTCGGGGCTGCGGGCGGTGTCTGAAGCATCCAGAATCCGTCTGACGGTATTGTCGGGATTTTGCACTGTTTTGGGGACTGTCCTGCTCTGTGTGCGTCTCTTTACAAACGTGGTTGTGCGGAAACGCGAACTTAACATCGAGTAAAGGCGGAGGCAGCAATCTCTAAAAGAAGAAAGCAAACGCTTGCCCTCCGCAGGGAGGGAGAGCTTTGGGCTTGTTTATACTATAAATGCTTTTCCCAGCTGGGACGAGGGTGGGAGGGAGAAACAAAATCAAGCTTCGAGAGTTAGAAAAAAAATTCATTCAAGTACAATAGCAAACTACAAGGAAAGTAAGCAAAGCTTATGAAAGTTAATTTAAGAGAGCAGACTCTGCAAATGAAGAAATAAGTTTAAGGGTTTTTTTTCTTGTACAGTAAATTCTTCTAATATCTTAAGAGATGTTGCTGTACATAGACATTGTCATGCAACAATTTGAGAAACTGTTTTGGAAGGCTTGAAGATGGCTGATATGAAATCAAAGTCTGTGAGAGATCTTTAATTATTTGTAATGCTGCAGTGACAAACCTAATCCTGGGTTTTAGACTCGATAAAGACCATACTGTTCTTAATAATGAGCTTAACAATGGAACGATATAGAAAATAAATGCTTGGCAATGTCCTCTGAGTACTAAACCCTGTTGGTTCAAGAGTCTCTTTCCGTTTGCCATGCACTTAGTCTTTCAAAAATTTAATGGGCTGGGAAGTTCATTGTATCTCTTTCTAACTAAGTTTAGAGGGTTTTTATAGGAGTATTGAGCCTTCTGGTTTTGTACCTTGTTTAAAAATTTTGCCATGATATTATGCAGCTACTTGCTATTCATAAGAGTGTAACAGGGGAAGAATTCTGGTAAGAAACACGTAACAGTAAAAAGTTCTTCAAACTTTAGTACAGTAATTTCTGGTAGGGCTTATTTCCCACTGTTTTAAAATAAGTTCAAGGTTCTAATCCTTGCACTTCCTAATTTTTTGTAGTCCTAAAGTAGGGAAAATACAGTTCTGTTGTGATGTTTCTTTCCTAATTACAGGCACAACTGTATAAGTTATTGATACATTTTAAGATTTCTGTTAGAGAGCAAGTGCCTTGCACAAATCAGTCTAGATGACTTTGTGATATCATTATTTATATTTTGCATTTCAAAACTGTTCAAAAGCTTCAGCTAAGACTGTAGTCATCTTCGAAAAATTGTTGTAACCTATATGGAGACATGGTGGTATAAAGAACTTGCAAAGGTAATATGGAGTATTCATGGAAGAATATAGATAATGCAAAAATTTTAAAATATCATGGGGCTATTGTTTTACTTACTGATTTTTTTTAATTTCACTTATTAATTATTCTCCCTGATAAGATCTCTACAGTCCTTCTCAGTTTCAACATTCTCTATGTTCTATTATACCAAATCTTGGACTCTTTGAGTAGCCTGTCTATTTAAAGGACCCATAACACATGATAAACTTGTCATTTAATCATCTACTATGAGGAAAATTCCCACATAGCAAGAACAATGTAAGAAGGTCCTTGGTGAGTCCTAATGGTCCATTTACTTCAGTATTTTATTTCTAAGAGTGGTAATAGGAGATTATAACTTAGGGAAAGCAGTATTTCCTCTTCTTGAAGTCTGTGAATTAAAGTTGATGTGACCAGTAAGAGTACATCACCAAGACTTGGTGGTGATGTTGTGTGACTGACATTATTTGTTTTATAAAGCAAAATATAGGCAGCACAAGAGGAGAAGTAAGTATCAATATAACATTTGAATTACAGAAAGTGGCTACAAGAACTGTAAATTCCCCTGTAGGGCACAGGCAATTTGGTGACATCCTATCACTCAGGCTAGCCATTATTTATGGTAGCAGCTGAGCTGTACTATGGGCACTGGAGAAAGATAGAAGCTTTTATGGTAATCTTTTCCCCTATTTCATCGTATAAGCACACCTTGGTTGTATCCATTGGGGCCGTTTTTTCTTTATCCTGTTCTAATACTGGTTGGAGAATTTGTTTTTTCTGGTATGTGTGGGATTTATTTGGTTATCAGTAAAGGCCTGTAGAACTTTGCTGACTTTTTTTATTTGTTGACAAGATCATTTATTAGTTCTTGAGGCAGTGTCATGTGTGGGAACTTGCCTCTTCTAGTTGGTATTGCCTCTTTCTTTGTTGGTATTTTAATTTATGCTGATGACCTTGACTGCACTGTTGTCTCTGCTAAGTCTCCATACATTTTTTTCTCTTAGTCTACTTGTATGTGGAAAACTGTTTGTTAACAAACAAGTTGATAAATAGTGGTTTTTAAGATCTTCATAATTGGTGAATCTTTTTTTGTTGTTGTTGTCTAATTTTCTATTTATTGATGGTAGAAGCTCTCAGAAGCAGTTGTTGCAGTGGAAAAGGATTGATGTAATATTTTTTTTCTTCCTTGTACTGTATATTATACATCTATTGATAGAGGCTAGTACTGCTTTTCCCCTACTTAATGAAGTTTTTTTTTCTTAATGCTTTTGCTGACTGTAAACTTGCTTCAGGTTCAGGAACCTTTACCTACCTTCTAGCCACCGTGACCAATTTGAACCCAACTGCTTAGTACTTATGATATCTTGATTCAAATAACATTTCTATATCTCTGATAAGTGCCTCCTTGTTTCATTATAGGTTAATCAAGGTCTAAGAGAATAATGCTAGTATTTTCCTTCTCCTAACTTTCTTTTCAAGTTGTTACCTATTTTCTGAAAATACCTGTGATGGAGGACTGATAATGATTGCGTGAAAGAGGTTATGTCAGATCCAGGAGATCATACATTGGTTTAGATTTCAGGAAAGACAGATTGAGATTTCCACTGTCAAGTGTGAGGTTAGTGTTGAGAAGAGCTCTTCTCAACACTGATCATTTGTGGCTAACCTAAGCACATCTTTTATACCTAACTTCTGGCTGTCATCAGGGTATGTAGTTGTATCCCATTCTGGTTTCCCAGAGAATCAAGGGAAGTCTTTGCAGTTAAAGAGTTTCTTATTTTGGGGTTTGTTGTGATGTTTGCTTTTTGAGGTTTCTTTTGCCTTTATGGATATTTGGGCACAAGTGGCTCTGAAGTGTCTGAACAAACGAGTTAAACTGACTGCTCTGAAAAAAATTCCAAGGGCAGAAAATCTTATGTTTCAGTACATTGTATTTGAGATAAACTTTTAATTCTTTTTTTAAATAAAATAAAGTTTTTATTGCCTACATTCAACTTTAACTAGTTCAAATTTGGAAAATTACTAAGTTGATATACATCTGGATGTCATCCCTACTTTGACTGTTCAACCTTTCTTATCTCAGCAAATCCATTAACGAATACAGTTGATTTTAAATATTACTTCATGTTTCGCAGCTAGAAAGAATTTGTTTTATTTCATTAAATTATTTTCCTACTTTCAGTTTATTTTCTTTGTGGTCTTTTTTGGGCTACAGATGCTGACATTCTTTTCTTCATAGAGAATTTTTTGGTACATGAGGGAATGTTTATATTATTATATCTGCCTTAGAAATTTACTTTATAGTAATTATTATTTAATTTATATTTATCTTAACATCCAAATCAGCCAACTAAAGTATAAAAAGTTGATGTCATTAAAATATTTATGATATGTGCATTATAATTCCAGATGGGAATTTGCACTATTATAATCGAAATTTATTAAAATCTGATATGTCTCTGAAGAATATGTTACAATGAAATGATTTATCTAGACATAGATAAAATCTTGTGATCATGATGCTAAAAAATACATGCAATATATTTCTTGGCATATGACCTGTTTGCTGACAGACCAAAAAATCAAGTGGCCATGTGGAGTTAGCTATCTGCCAGGTTAAATCATAACTGGGGCACTTTAACATTGACTACATTCAAATTTTATACAAGTAGTGGTTACGAAACTGAGACAAGTATTTCAATATAGACATAGTTTTATGAATAAGATTGTAATTTTTCTCTGTAAATATACTGTGTGTTCTTTTTGTCTTTTTTGGCCAAGGACACAACTGGAGATATTTAACTTTGTCATTTTTTATATATTCTTCAGAGAATTAGAACGACATCTGCTAATCCATAGTAAAAGTGGTACTATAAATATATATAAACTTATATTTTTTTTCTTAAGAGATGTTAATTTATTTTCTTGAAAAGAAACCTATAAAGCCTCATGGAATTTATTTTTAAAATCCATTATAGAACATCCTTGAGAAGATACATGATCAACTCCAATCCACTGCTATTGTTGGTAGCTAAAGCTTAATCTCCTCTTGTGAATTGATAAAGCTCAGTCTTAAAAGTAGCTTGTGAGAAGGTGGTGTGAAAGTCTCAGCCCAGTGTAAATCTGGTGGTGATGACAGTGTTGAACATCTGTTACTAGCAGCTTACTCTAATCACTGTGAGGTGGCCTGGTTGTTCTGTATGTCATCCTGTCCTGATAAATCCATACAGCTTGTTGGGAAACAGCAAGTAAGGGAAAAAATCAAAAAAGGACAACTATTTAGAGCCATGCTATGTTTGTGCCAGTAGTAGCTTGCTTGGAGTTGGGGAAGTCTAGGGAAATCTAATTGTTGTCTGACCTTGTATGACATAATTTGCTGAGGTATAGGTTTGCTGTGT